AGCAATCGAAGTCTGCCTTGGTATGTGTGTGTGTGTGTGTGTGAGTGTGTGGGTATGTGTATGTGGTGGGTTTGGGTATTTAGTACTAGCACAATAAATATACAAGTGAAAGCCCCACAGCCGATAAGAAATTCCCAATCAATTTTGAACTCTGACTCGTTCCGAAATTCGTTTCCTCTACTTAAATTAGCATTCATACTAAGGCTGTGGCCAGAGAGATGTGGGCCAGAGAGAAGCAAATGGAAAGGCAAAATCAGTTCGATATATGTATGTATGTATTTATAACTAGTTCATATATCATGGGGAAAAGCTCATAAGCCAATTACAAGGTGCATCAATCAAAAGGAAAGATAAACAGAACAGCTACACATGCACACACACCCACACAAATGCACTCCCACACACACACACACTCATATGCCTATAACATATATTCTATTGAATCAATTGCGACCAAGTCGAAAGGAAGTCCGAAGACGTAGACAAAGACGATATTAGTCATTCGCTACACTTGTCAACGACTTTGTCTACGCTGTGCGTGTGTGTGTGTGTGTGTGTATGCGTGAATGCATGTGTGTGCGTTGCTTGTCAGCGCGTGAAAATATGCGCCGATTGCTGTCTTAGGCACAGTAAAAAGACCTCTGGGCCAAACTGCTTGTCAGCTGAAGTGCTCAAGTGTTTCCCTCTTACACCCGCACACACACACACACACTAACACACACACGCACACACCTGAGTAGTACACCTCACAAAGTAAACAATGGCAATATGCAAAGCGTCAAAAAGGGAGTGTGAACCAAAGCTTCAGCTGCACGACTTTTAAATACCCTAAGCTAAATTTATATATATATATATATATATTTATATATATATATATAAGTCTCTACAATCTGCATCGTATCTAACTTTATTAATTTATATGCATTTATATTGAAATAAATGTTGTATTGAATTACTACAGCAGAACTGGCTCAGATTACAGCCCAACACCTTGACATGATAGCTTCTTCCTATAAAGGGTTCGACCATCTGTTCTCTGACCTCGGTCAACAATTAACTAGATCTGTTTTATATCGAGCTATCGAGCTGTGCCATTAGCCCATTATGCAAGCTATTTAGGCTACCAACATGAAGCCAATTAATGCCTTCCACATGGCTGGCTCAGTAGGTTAAGCTGATTAGGCAGGTGCAAGAGGAGAGCGTTCAGCCAGAGGGCGGCGGCTGGGGGTTGGGGTTTACTCTTAATTCCGTTTCGTTATCAGCAAATGAATGCAAATTTGTTAGGCACACAAGGCGCAGCCCGTTCAACCGTTTGGTAATGGGTCGATAATTTTTATTTTGTAGATTGCGTGCAACAGGTTGAAGGCGTGGATTGAGCGACTACTAGATACCCTGTGAGCAGTGTTTCAATTTGTTATGTTATTTGCTATTTGTCTTGGTAATCAATTCAAGACACAATAAAAGAAAGTCTTAAAGCTGCTCTCACCAAGAGACTGTTGATCAAATTAAGTCAAGAGATGTCCCCATCGATAATCGACCAGCAATCGAAAACTCGGAATCTACATAAATCACTTCCACTTCGCTCCATTGCCGGCTGCGCTGCCCTTCTACGGATTACAGGGTATGTAAAGAAAGCAGAAACGAGATTGCGTCATTTGCGCTGGTGACGCCCACAAGGCCCCACCATCGCCCCATTTCAGGGAATTGGCGACAAAACGACATCGGCCAACGGGCCATATATGAACGGGAAGCCTTATAGACGCTATTCGACTCGACTCGACTCGATTCAACTCGACTCGATTCTCGTTGTGGTTATGACGGCTTTTCGTAGTTACCCTCTCTCTGTATGGCAAATGGGTATGCTGGCGGAGGGGGTGGGACGGAGTAGGGGTATTCAGGTGATCACATTGTTTGTTTGAATTGCGTATTGCTTTATTATTATTCTCGGCTGTTGCCATTAATTGAAAATTAAATGAAATGAACAACAACAGCAACAGCAACAACAACAACAACAGCAACAACAAAGATGGCACACGAGCAACATTAACAGGAATATTTCTGGTTAAACAGTTGTATTGTTTAAAGTGCATAAACAAAAGCACAAACACTTCCTCACACACACACACACAAACACACACGTATGTATATGGATATGTATATCAAATTTATTCGCCTGACAACACAATAATAATGAGAGGGAAACAAATACAAATTTTTGGTTCGTTGACCGAGTTTTTGGGCAAAGCTTCTCCCACTTTTCTCTCGCTCGAATTGCAAAGTTTCTGTTTATTATGTTAGGTATTCAAATGTGTGTGTGTGCACGTATTTTAATGCAGATTTAAGTTGCTTTCGTTCGAGCAGTTTGGCAAATGCTGCTGCTAGCAGCTTCCGTTGTTCGCGCACAGTGGGACAAAGGCAATTTGCTGCGGCAGTAAATAGCGGCAGCTGCTCTCAGAGCCGAGCTTAGTCACATATATGACTAATTTCGCAGAGCTATTGCAATTACGACTATTTGACATCGAAAGTGACTCGTTTGGCAGCCCGTGAGCCACTGTGCGACTTCTGCTTTGGCTTTGTTCGCGTGACCCGCTGAGCAAACGGAGGAAATGGCAACGTAAGCAAATCCAATTTGCTTGCCTGATGCTGGGAAGTGGATAGTAAAGAGAGCGTGCGAGTGATACAGAAAGAGAGGGAGGGAGGGAGGGAGAGGAAGAACGTTGAACCGGTTAAGTACTGGACAGCGCTTTAAACTGAGCTTCGATGTCAGCTGAGCTGCTCAAGTCACGTAGATCTGCAGATAAAGTGCGACTGCAGATGAGTCAAGCCGATTGGCCAATGGAAACGGGGCAGAAATAGTCAGAGAGGTCACACGGCGGACGGTGGCTTGGACAGAGCTGGCACTGGAACTGGAACTGGCACTAGAAACGGAACCGAAAGCCGCACACTGTGCGGTCTGCCCTGTGCGTAATGGGAGACGCAGCCGTTGAACCTGCTAGCAACGTAATTTGAAGCGGTAAAACACACAAGCGGAGAGGTGAAAATGAGAAGAAAGGGGGCCTGGCGCTAGGGCTGGGGCTGGGATTGGGGCCGCGCCTGCCTGCCACTCAATTTCAATTAGGACACATCACTCAAAGAGTCGGCGAAAGGTATTTTCATTATGTCACTAACTATGTAACGCTTCCATCAAAAATCAAAATCTAAATATTTAATATTTTCGACTGCCTGGGAATCCTTATCAAAGTCAACGCGGTCGAAGGTGGACAGCCCTTCGAAAGCTTCGTCTGTTGAGCAACCCCACGTGCGGGCAGCTGATAAGAGAGAGTGAGAGAAGGAGAAGGAGAGGGGGGACTCAATTGAATTTGCCGTGCCAGAGAGGCATCAATAATGTTGCTGCTTGCAGCTGCTGTCTGTCCGTCCATTTGCATTTGTTTGGTTTTATGCGCTTTACCGTTATGCGCCAGGGTTGCCATGTGTGCGCAGGGCTACAGCAAAAGGGGGCAGGGCAGGGCAGGGGCAATGCTTATCGCTGTTTGCTTTTTAATTTTTATTGCTTCTGACGAACGACCAAACGAACGGCACGGCACACGCACCCCGACAACGAGATGCTCTTATGCTATTTTTGTGTGTTCATGCAACGGTAGCCCCCAGAGCCAACCAGCCCCCGGGCTGCACACGCACACACACACACACACACACACACGTTGACTCACAGCCAAGCAGAGAGCACACACACACAGACACAGCTGAAGAGCTGTCTAGTTGTTTACGCTTCGCTTCTTCTTATATTCTTAATGATTGTTTTACACTTTTTGCTTTTACCGTTAAACGAAAAAATAAACGAAATTTGTCGACTAAACAGTTTGCTAATGCCTGCGACGGCTTAAAGTCAACTAATCCCATTTGCGGCGAAACTGTGCTGAGCCTAATGCGCTGCAAGAGTCAGAGCGTGAGAGTGGAAGAGGCAGAGCAGAGAGTGAGAGCTGTGGCAACAAGAAAAAGAACAAACTAGTTCAATTAATTAAACGATTTGTAAACACAATACCATGATTAATTACACACACACACCCAAATACACAGAAATACAGACTGTATGCATTCATTTCTGGAATTAATGTAGAATGCATTAGTGTGAGTGTGTGTGAGTGCAAGTACATTCTCTCCCTCTGACTCTCTCTGTCGCTCTTTTCAAAACTGTGATTTTCAAGCAAATCAGACAGACGCTGCGACACTGCGTTTCGTTGAGTAGGCGGCATCTTGAGCTGTGCTTACATGTGTGCGTTTGTGTGTGTGTGAGTGAGAGTGAACATCGCGAAGAGAGTAAAATCATAATAATCAAAGGCAACAAGCAGCGCGCAGTGCCGCGTTGATTCTGCCTGCGGCTGCAGATAAGCGCACTCACACACACACACACGGACACAGAGGTAGCAACACAAGAAAAAGAGTTAAATGAGCCGCTTTGGGCAGGAACTGCAGCTCACCTTTTTACTCGTAGCACTTAGGTACGGCGTATGATGGTGTGTACTCTTTTTACATAGCAACAAATTCAGCAAATATGAAGAACACATTTATTTGTAAGGCTCCTTCGCAACTTTACACAAATATTGACGCACATGCACACACGCACATACACATTGATCGGTCGCTCACGCACACGGACTGCGAGTCGAAAGGAAAACAAAGCAGGAAAAAATGGAACGGCTCAACGAAGCCGCAAAACGAAAATAAAGTTATGGTACTGTGTTTGTTTGACTATGCGAGCTAGGGTTTACATATGGAACACGTAACGAAACCGCAAGCAGTTATGCTTTCAATAATGAACAAAATTAACAAAATAAAATAGAATTGAATTTTCTTTCCGAAACCGAACAAACCAAGGCGAGCAGCGACGAACTAGTGATGTTAAATGCGGGCGAACAACGTATCGATGTATCGATGTTGTTACAATAATACGACAGCCATCACGATGTTTGTATGTGTCTATCGGTGAGAAACTCTAAATAGTTACTGATTGCTTGCTCACTGACCGAAGCTGACTGATGTGAAATATACGCGCGTGATTTAATTTTCAAATTTTATATAACACAGCAAACATTACATACTCTACGTTGGCAGAAATAGGAGAAGAGAAATTGAAAATAATTTTAAAATAAATTGAAATTGAAATAGTAGCTGTTAAGCGATGGCGAGTCGTGAAGGGGGCAAGAAGAAGCCCTTAAAAGCCCCCAAAAAGGAGGCCAAAGAGATGGACGAACAGGATTTGGCCTACAAGCAGAAGCAGAAGGAGCAGCAGAAGGCTCTCGATGCAGCCAAACAAAAGGCAGCCCCGAAGGGCGGCAAGAAGGCATCTAAGTAGCATATATCATCCACACGCAGGATATTCGATGTCCTGTTCTGCAATAAAATTGAGTTGGCTTACGTTTTGCCCAGTTGAATGATGATTAATTGCTTCTATTACTGTGCAGAGGTCGGGGTTGCTCGCTTAAAAAACCATCACAAAAATGTGACAGCCCTAAGGCCACACAAAAAACCTTTGCTGGACACGGGCATTGGCGAGCGCAACAAATGCGGCAAATTCGCATTTGATGCGTTTTTTATGTTAATCGAGTGAGCTAATGGACATTGCGAGCTGTCTGTCGTGCTTATGTCCTGCTGTCCCGATGTCCTCATGTCAGAGTGGGACATGTGTGTGTCAATTTATTGTATTAATCAAACGATAAAGCGATTTGTAGTTGATGAAGCCTTACACTGCGGTAGATGCTGGGAGAAGAGACGCTTCGATAGTGCAACTAGAGATAAAAAAGAGACTATTAGAGGAAGAGTAAGAGTGAGAGAGAGAGAGAGCGAGAGAGGGAGGGGGAGAGAGAGAGAAAGACAGAAAATAGAGGCAGAGTAAGATGGACAGAGACAGAAATAGCGAGTGTTTCGCTTATTGAAGTGGAGCTGTAAATGAGCAAAAGAGACTTCTGAAAGAGGCGAAAGAGAGAGATATATAGAGAAAGATCTTATGGATCTCATATGTAGATAATCCAAGAACACTCAGTACTTACGAGACTCTAAGTAAAGCCTGAGTCGATAAGTCTTTTCGCTGAGTGTAACTCTGTCAACTCATTAGACAAGAAATAATCAAGCTCGTGTGTTTATCATCATATTTAATATTTAAGCCTTTTATGGAAAACGTATTTGAATTGTTTTTATACAAAATTTAAATTACATTTTTTAAAAGCTAAAAATTTTATAGTTTCGCTTTAAGTATTATACAAATATATAGATATTTTGTATTTTTTTAAGTGTAGGCAAAAAACATAACACAAATCAAACTTAAGCAGAACTCTTAGAGGTATTTAATTATTATTTTTAAACTAAATCAATTCAGAAAATTGAAGGAATTATTTCAAAAATGTTTTTTTTTTAATTATAATTATAATCGTAATCTAGAAGAGGAAGCATTTGATATGTTGTAAAAATGTGAAGTATTAATTTTAATATTATTATTTATTAATTTTTATTATTAATATTAATATTTATATTTATATAAATTGATTTTTATGTGATATTCGAGCTGGTGAAAATGTACAATTTAATTTAAATAATTAATAACAATTACCATTAGTTGAATAAGCATTTTGATTTAATTTTTAGATTAATATTGTGTTTATTTTTAAATATATATTGTTGTTGTTGTAGTTGTTGTTGCTGGCACACTATCCAAGTCTTATGCAAGAGTTTTATTTCGTAATTAATATATAAGTTTATGTTTTAAATTTAAATTTAATTAATTGCATATATGCCGAGTATTTTTTTATGGAATTTCAATGGGTTTTCTCGTGTGAGTTGTTTTTGTGTTTAATTTAAACTTAATTAATATATTTATTTTGTAATTAATATACAAGCTTACACATTATTTAACAACATTGAATGTTTTAACATTTGCCAAAATATTTAATTAAAAAATTGCTAAACAATTTTCAGTATTCAATCATATATACTATTTTAGATTATTTTTTTTTATAATTTATTTATTTTTTATTAAATATTTGCTTGCATTGCTTAGGCATCTGACTCAAATATTTAATAAAATACAATTTCTTTAGATTTGTATTTAGTTTTTAGTAATTAATTTTTAATTCTTTAAGGTTTTATGTACAATTTGTTGTTTAAATATTTTAATTATTAAATATTGCTTAGACATTCAAATAATATTTATTTTAAATTAAGAAATGCTTAAGCAAAACTTATAAAATATTGCTTCATATTTTAATTTAATTTAAAATTTTTGAATAAAAGAATATTCAAAACATTATTTTATAAAATTTGCTTAAGCATTCCTTTTCAAGATTATTATCATTATTATTATTATTTTTTTTTTTAATTTTTGAAATGTTTTCTTTTTATTTACAGCTTGAAGCTTGGCTTAAAATTTGCTTGCAAACTTTTCACGCCTTCTCTTTTCCTCGCAGCAGCTGCTGGCACTTGGTGGTGCGAGTGGTGCAGTGGCTCAGTTGTGGCTGCCCTTGCGCGCATTGAAGAACATTCGCGCCACTTTGCCCAGGGCGCCAACAAAGTCCCAGCGCTGTGCCTGCTGCTGGTGCTGCTGCAGCTCCTCCTCCTCCTGCTGCTGCTGCTGCTGCTGGCAGTCGCGCCTCGCCTAGGAGGGCGTGGAGTACCAGGCACTCGCCGGGCTGCCCTTGTGGTACAGGTGGAAGCTCGAGTGGGGCGCGAAGTATTGCGGCTGGTCCAGGTTGCTGTAGGTGACGCCGCCCTCCGTCGTGGTCGTGGCGTGCGGGTGCATGCCCGCCGTGTAGGCCTGCGGCTTCAGGGGCAACGTGGCGCCCGCCGAGCCGTCCACGGGCGTGGCGTATTGGCCGCGCAAGGGGTCGGCGTAGTCGTAGCCGGCATTGGAGCCCACCAGGAGGCCGGGAGGCGCGGCCGCCGAGGGCAGCTTGGCCGAGTTGTTGGAGTCGCGCGGCGACACGGAGCTGGGCGGCGTCATGGCGTTGTGGTAGTCAATGGAGCTGTGGTAGCCGCCGTAGGTCGACACCAGGTTGGTGAAGGCGTCCGCCGAGTTGCCGCTCTTCTGGCCCACGGGATGCGGCACGGAGGCAGCTGCCGCCGCCGAGTGCAGCTGCAGATACTGGTTCTCATAGGAGGACTCGCTGCCCGGCGGCGTGGGCAGCGGCCCGCCCTGCTGCTCGCCGTAGAAGACGCCGGGCACGCCCACCCCAGTGGGCGTCTGCCTGGCTGTGGCGCGTATCACGCTCTCGCGATTCGCGTACAGCTGGCGCAGCAGCGCCGTGGCCGGCATCGGGGCGGGCTGCTGGTAGGGCGTGCCGATCCACTGGATCGTGCTGCTCTTCTCGTTGGCATCTGCGGCGTGGAGCTGCTGCTGCGCCTGCTGCTGCTGCTGCTGCTTGATCAGCGCGTCTGTGCTGAAGTCTGTGCTGGGCTGGTTGTTGTTGTTGTTGTTGTTGTTGTTGCTGGGCGAGGGCAGGTGCTTGGACATGGCGTGCTCCAGATCCTTGACAGCCGAGTCGGCCGAGGCAGCTGGCTGCACGTCCTCCACCATGGAGGGCAGGCGGCTGCGCGGCTCTCGCTGCTGCTCCAGGGCGGGCAGCTTGCTCAGCGGCTGCTGCTGCTGCTGCTCTGCCTGCAGCTGGCCCACCTGGCCCACCTGTTGCTGATCCGCTTGCTGCTCCTCCGCCTGCTGCGCTGCTTTGCTCTTGCGCTTGCGCTTGCTGCTCGGCGCGCTGCCCGTGGGCGTCGGTGTGGGCGTGGGCGTGGCAGACACCGTCACAGGCAGCACGCCGTCCACCTCGACGCCCAGCGGCGTCGGCGAGTCCTTGATCAGCGCCAGGCTGCTGTTCAGGTTGCTGCCATGCGCCGCATTCCGCCCCCTGCCCCGCTGCGTGTGGCCCTCTGCATCGGTCTTGGGCGAGCCGAGCCCCAGCTTCATGTCGCCACTCAAGTGGGGATTGCCCTCGCCCGAGGCATCGCCGCCAGGCGAGCCGCTGCTCTTGTCGTTGCCCAGCCCCTCCTCGTGCTTGATGCTGTCCACACTCGGCTCCAGCTGGCAGCAGTCCAAGATCAGATTCTCATACTCACGATTGCTGAGGGGACAAAGGAGAAATGACGATCGGGTTAGTCGGTTGTGATAGACTCTATTTATACCATTCATTAGAGACGTTCGGGGCTCCCTTAAGTATCTCTAAGATATCTTGGGACTTTCCCTGGGATCAATTCCTTATCCTATTCCCACTTGTACTCAGGATTCACCCACCTTATAACGTAGTTGACGCAAATGATGTTCTGCTCGTCGGCATTTTTGGTGCTGCAGACGACTGTGGCGCAGGTCTGGAGCCAGGTGTAGCCGCCGTTCTTGTTCATCAGTCTGTAGTAGCCAGTCAGGACCTGCCCCTTCTCGATCACTGAAAGGGAATTCACATTGCAATGAGCTGCGATCGATGGGCGGGGCTCAGAGGAACTTACGATCTGTGTGGCTCTTGCGCAGGCGATTCGCATCCTCGGCATGGCAGAGGCAGTAGAGACTCTTGTTGACAAGATCCTCGGGCGTGTAGTCCAGCAGGTCAGATACTCTGCAGCAGAAAGGAGAGAGAGAGAGAGAGAAGGGATATCAGTAAAGGCCATTGGCCCAGGTAGACTGACCCCACTCACCTAGGCTCGCAGTGCGCCACGCGCAGATCGAAGTTGACGCGCGTCACAAACATGTCGCACTCCAAGCGTATCTCGTGCACCGAGGGCGGCGGCAGCGCAATGGCCAGGGCGACCATGCCCAGCAGCGGAGGCTGCGCCTTGCGCGTGTGCGAGAAGGTGTACTGCGGACGCAGCTTGCAGAGCAGCAGCACCACCTGCAACAGCAGCAAAAAAACAAGACAGACCATCGAAGAGTTAGTGAAAATAGGTCAAAGACTAGCTGCTTAAGAGCTAAGATAGAGAGAGACAGATAGAGCGAGAAAGCAGCAGTGAGAGGGGAAGAACTGCTCACGTTCAGCAAACTGCTTGAAAGTGAAGTGTAGCAGCGAGCTTTCAGAAGACTATCGTGGCACAGAGCTGAATGCTATTATATACAGTTGACGACTGAATGCGATGATTGATGATGTTTTTGATTGCACTTAGTGACAAGAAGCTGACAGTTATGTATGCAGACTGCATTGGTCGCTTGATGTTTCGAATTGGATTGAGTGACAAGAAGCTGAAAGCTATACATAAGTGCTGGCTGAATGTGTTTGTTGGCTGGTGATTGTTGCGTATGCTACCACAGATATAAACAGTAAGATATACATATTTTCATATTGTAGATGGATAGAAGTGTTCAAGGCATATTGAATGCGCATTGCCATATGCTGCATTGCTGTCATCTGCTATAAGCATATGGTAAATAATATAGTATATAGTGTATGTGACTGTTGAAAGTTGAGTATATATAACAGATATATTTGTATTATGTGTATATTCTAGCATATAAAATATATTGGAATTTCCTGAACAGACAGTTGAGTAATGTGATATATTGGAAATTTATTGACAATACGTACATATAAAATGATGTGATAGAATTATTATGAATAGTCCTATATAGCATATTTGTATGTATATTTATGTGATGATATATAGTTTACTAAAGCAGCTATATTCGCTGTTGTTCAATGCAATATCAGAATGACTGTGGGCTATCTCCTCTTGGCTCTTGACTGTGCGTAGTGTATATAGCATAGATATATGGGATGACCGATATCAGTATAGTATAGTGGCTATATTCGATGCTGATCAATCTAAAATCAGTTTTGCATTGCCTGCTCAAACGAAATGTGGCCGAAAATTGAAAAACTGATTGATAAATGGCGCCTCGAGAGGCGTCGTCAAATCATAAACTAAATTAAATTTTGCTTCTTTTGATTTTTAATTTTTTAATATTTAAATTTTAGGTTGTTTAGAAATTTGTTTTAGTTGCTCTGCATTTTGTTGTACTGATTTCAATTGATACGTACCGAATAGTTCGAGGCCGGATTCTTAACATTTTTACCATTTGTATTGCTACCGCTGCAATTGCTGGTTGCATCGCTCGCCTGTAGATAAGCATTGGGATGGTGATGGTAAAAAATGGCTAACAGACAGCTCTATATATGTATGTATATATGTGTGTATTGTACGTTCAACCAAAGATCGGTTAGTCTACTGCCCCAGCACGTCACGAACCGGACAAACGAATTCGCTAAGTGTTAGAAAGAAAGCTACGAAACCAAAAACAAACTCAAAAGGGAACCAAACTAAGGACTACTACACTATGCTACAGGACTCGGAGTTGAGTTGAGTTGAGTTGAGAGTCAGTGCTTGAGGCTTACCCGGTAGCCGGAGGACTTGAAGTGGCATCCGCGCTTGGTCAGGGTCGACTTCATTCGCACGCAGAAGCTGCGATCGTAGCCCTTGTAGCCGCTCGTCGAGGCCTGCGTCATGGAGGCGGCAACTGCAAGAGGAAGATAGAGCGGAGTTTAGCTAAGGTCCAACTGGGCTGCGGTTAGTTGGGCTCTAACTGGTTAGGCTAGTTGGCTAGCCGGACGCCCGGGATACCCAGGTTCTTGGTAGCAACTCGGACTCGACTCACCGTCTGGATTGTTCGTACCGTGTGTGCCGCTGCCGTCGTCTGAGGCGCCCGACGTGGGTGAGGCCAGGCCAGCGGCACCGCTGCCACCGCCGCCGCCAGCTCCCACACTGCCGCCGCCGCCGGCGCCGCCACTGGTGAGGCTCAGGCCCAGCTGGTCGGCGATCTCCGCATGGTCCGCCTGGTGGATGTAGTCGAATATGCTGCTGCCCGTCATCTCCACCTGCGAGAGGCCCAAATAGATGGACACCGTTTCCGATATGTACAGGAAGCGTCCATCCGCTGCCACCGCCAAAGCGAAGCCATCCAGTGACTGCGGCAGAGAGAAAATGAAATTCAGTTAGCCAAATTTGCATAAAGTTAACGCCAAAGATGGCTGCCCGCATAGCAACTCATATATATCTTTCTCTCTTTCTCATTCTCTCGCCTCTCGCTCTTTCGCTTACCTGTAGTATGTGGGTGCCCTGATGTTGCTCGAACAAATCAACCGCGGGACTGCGTCGTATGGCTGCACCTGCAATGGAGAACGAAACGCATGCCAAGTGGCAGAGCGGTTAGCAATTGGCTAGAGGCAAAAGCAACATTCAAAAGGTGCTAAAACAAGGTGTGCGAGTGACGTATACACTTACAGGGTATATGGCATGCAGATTGTTATAGAGTTATAGATAATATATACTTATTTATAAGTGATAGACATAGATAAGATAGAGGAATATAGCCAAGCTTAAGCTGGTCTCGCTTTAAGCTAACTTGAACCTGATTCAAGCAAACTCCGACTGAATAAAGCCCTATTCATGGCTCTTAGCTTGGGTTGTTTGCCAATCGAAGTGGCCAACAGTGGTCATTGCCACGTCATGCTATGCTGGCCACGTCAACATTCAGTTATTGTCACGTCAAAGGCATAAGCGAGGTGCCTGAACGAGGGGGGGGACAACGACGGCAACGACGGCAATGGCAGCTGGCTGCAAATCGAGTCGAAAAGGTAGACAAGGCACTAAAAAATAATCCAAAATCAATGGGGCGTTATGTATGGCCAAAAAGGGGCCACAAGTGAAAACAGAGAGAGAGAGAGAGAGAGGGAGGGGAAGGGGGACGGGCGTTAGTTCAATTGTATTATTATGCGCAACTAAAGCCCAGAAGGCAGAGCAACAAGCTGCGGGCAATAAAAACCACTTCAATTTGACCCACAGACAAAAAACGGAACGGAACGAAACGAAATATATGTATATATATATATATGTATGTATGTATAAAAATATTATGAAAGCGGGGCGGGGTAAGGTCATTAAAGGCAAAGCTGTTATGGTGGGCCTCAACACCCACACAAGATAGAGAGAGAGAGAGAGAGAGAGGGAGACAGAGAGCGAGAGAGACACATATGGACAGCGGAAGCGGAAACTGTTTGCCAACTGGGCAACTCGAGGCGAGGCCAAGAAATCGCTGGGGATTCACAGCAGCCGCGTGGAGACGGGAAGAGCAGAGGGAGGGAGGGATGGGCAGGCTCAAAGCGCAAGGGAATTGGCATTGGACTAAAGCGATTTGCACTTGTGCGAATTATGACCTGGCAGCAGTCTGAGGGGGTTGCTTGTGGTCGGACGGTCTGTTGGTCTGTCGGTCTGTCGGTCGGTGGGCTGGCTTGACCGCCCATAATCGTAAAATTCTATAATTGAATTAAATAAATATGCTTCGCATGGGCCACAGCTGAGGAAATATTGCAAGAGCTCACATATTTATGACACTCGGCTCTGCCAAGAGTGCTCCGAGTGGGCAATCAAATGATGATGCGAGAATTCAATGAGAATTGCAGACAAGTTGGAAAAACATTTCAGCATGAAGCACAATTTCAATTGAATACAAATATAAAATTTATATATATATATATATTTATTTATATATATATTGGCATAGCATATGACTATGAGAGTCCAGCCTTATATTTACTGCTTAGAGCTCTGTATGAAACATTCAGGATATTTAGGATCGACTTTTAGGATATACTACTTTCCTTTTCATTATTTCAAATATATGGAGGTTCATTGACTAAAGCACTCTTTCAGCTTAAATGGGTATCAAAATAATTGTAGGTACTTTTTATTTCTGTTTCACGCTCAAGAACCAAATCAAGTTTATCTAACTATAAGATTATAAATCTAGTTTGATAGCAACATATTTCAGGCACTTTGATGGAGCAAACGGCAGTCCAGGTGAAAGCTGGCATGACTTGTCTCCATTAGGGTTCGTCATCTATTTTCGAAGTACTTTAACGACTGCCCAGATTCGTATAATTGCTTATAGGCTCTTTGGCTATAATGAGCTCAGTCGCTGTCCAATCGGAGTGGCCCGGCGGATTGGCTTGGCCTTCTGGAATTCCACAATGACAGCTATGACACACAGTCATGGCAGTAAAAACAAATCAACATATCAAATAGGCAGAGTGAGAGAGAGGGAGAGCGAGAGCGAGAGGGAGATCAAAATGGCTGCGCATGCGCAGTAAATAAAATATAAATTGCGCTTAATAGCGATATTTTATGCAAATGAATAACTGACGGCCCCCAAAAAGCCCCTCAAAAGCCCAAAACAAAAATATAAAGCCAATAAATTGTTTGGCTTCGGCATTTGTTGTTGTTTATTTTAAGGTGCGCGCGCATATTGTTTGTAATTTTATTTTATTTTCAATTTTTGGTTTTGTTTTCGGTTTTTGGCATAGAAAAGTTGACAAATCTGTGATTTCACTGTGCCGTTGCGAGGCGATGCCACTGTAAAATGTAGGCAAATGCGTTTCCTGCTTTCGGTTTTTATCGCTCTCGCACTCTCCCTCTCTCTCTCCCACTCTCTCCCTCTACCTATTTCTTCGCCGCAGCAATGGCGCACAAAATGGCCGCCCACGCTGCCGTACAGTCGCGTATGCAAATGAGCCATGCATGAAATTTCACTTACACTAGTGGCGCAAAAAGAGTGCACGCTCGCGATCTGAGTCGAGTTTGGCAGGGAATTTGATATGGTAAACGAATAGAATCATGTTTGGTGCGAAGAGTAAACTAAAGTTAGACAACAGATGGATTCGATACTCACTTTTTAGCTTGCTGCTGCTGGACGCCTCTCGGGTCCATGGCGGATCGCCGTGCCCGGAAAAGTCTCTCAGTTTCAAATAGCTAATGGTCAGTCTTATTATGGAGGCCTTGTCCAGCTGGCTGGTTATGGCTGCAGGCAGCGGCAGCATTTTGGCCAGCTCATAGAACTCGTAGTTCTCCTTGCCGCGCCGCGATCTGGCCGCGTCCCTCGACTTCTCCTTGCGCAGCTCCAGAATGCTGCAAGTGAAAAGGGAAACAGAAGATTAAGACAAGCCCAACAAAGCCAAGGCAATAAATATTGATATATTAGGCGGGTGTTAAGTAGACACTGACGAATGGGAAGCTGCGTCTAGGCCAGGCAGGGTACATCCTCCAGGTAGACACACTCCCGCTCCCTCTCCCTCTCCCTCTTCCCCTCCCTCTCACTCACACCTGTCGTCGCTGTGTCAACTGTTGGCAATTTGTTTGGCTGATGGAATGGTGTCAGAGTCCGAAAACAAATTGCCAGCCATTTGTCAGTCTTTCAACGGACCAGACTCTCACGATCTTGCCGCTCTTTGGTTTCTACTGTTCTAGCTGAAGAAAAATTGCCTCGTTTTCTATGCGCAACAGATTTTCCATTGTTGAATGCATCTCCCCCCAGAGAGAGGGAGAGAGAGATGTGTCTCTATCTTTAGCGCTGTGTGTTTAGTGGCAACAAAAGCTGCCTCCTCTTGTGGCAGATGCCGCTCGTCAGATACTCGATTCGATCTCTTTGAGCTGCACTCAGTTTTCCATTCAGCAACTGGGTAAACGGGCAGCCCACAGCCGACTCATGGCACTCCGAGCACTCCGAGCACTCAAAGCCAGCCGCTGCTGCTTCTCATATCGTTTGGCCCATCATCTTCGCCAGAAACTTGGCTTTAAAGCGTTCATAATTTAAGTTTGTTGTCATCTTTCCTTGTCGTCGCGTCGCGTTTCGTTTTTCTGTTTTTGCTTTTGTTTTTGTTTTTCGTGTTTGAGTGAAATTTCATTCCCTAGCATAGGAGCGAGCTTATGGGCATTCAAGCGAGGCTTGGTGCCAGCCTTTCCATACCCGGAACCCATTGAAGATGGGCAATCGGGGTATAATGGGCTTCTGAAAATGCATTAGCAGCCGGCATGAATATTCTGAATCTGCATGAAGACGACCTGGCTGGACATAGCTCGGTCCAACCGTCGGTCTGTCATGTAGATCATTTGCCAGTATGACTACGATATTGCACTGGTCTTCACTTGATATAGATATAGAGCCTAAAGGAGAAGCTATTGCATATGTACCCCTTAACACGAGGGTATTACGCCCGAGATCCAAATGTTTCATTTTATTTTATGATAGGGGACAATAAGCTCTGCTACTAAGATGTATTATATTTGGTTACGCTTCGTCTCTTAGGTTTTCCTTCGAGATTTTTACAAATTATGCAGATCTATGCATGGAATAATTACATAAATTGTTAACATCATTATTAAGCACTGCAATACTTTCAATATTTAAACTCAACTGTTTTCTATACAGATATTTTCAACAGAAGTTAACACACACACACACATACAGCATTCTAGATATTCACACATTTAAGAGCTCCATTCTCAATCAATACTAATTACTACGCATTAATTACAACATTTCAACACTGTTCCTTGAATCTTGGCCACCTTTTGTAGAGTATTTGAAGCCTCCACATGAGCACAGTCCCGTTTTCTTGCTCTTCTTCTTCTGTGGGCTGCCTCGCTTTAGCCAGATCTGTGGTTGTTGTTGGTCCGTCTTTCAGTTGCTGTACATTTCGTACATTTTGTGGGCTTTTACATTTATTTTAATGTCTGTGGGGCATCTGTAAATGCGCTCATCACACACACACTCACACACACACACATACACAGAGCTCGAGAGGTAAGTTTCGTGTAAGTTTGTTGAAACCAAAAGGCAGAAAAAAAAGAAGCCGCTGTGGATGATGCTTATCGTTGGGGGCACTGCCTCGCTGGGGCTATAAAAATATTTTTGTTGATAATTAAAATGAAAACGGCGTAAAGAGCGCTTCGAACAGAAACCCGTACAACATGCGTCTGCCACGGGCCAAGCCAGTTTTTAACCTCAGCAGCGTCTTTGGGTTTTTTTTAATTAGTTTGTTAAATCTGAGCTTGTTTTGAAATGTTAAGCTCAAAGCCTAAGAGTACCTGATGTTTCTTTCTTTCCCGAAAAACTTGCAGTTCAAAGAACTTAACTAGAAATGGAACCAGCCAATTCGCAATTGGCCAAAGAGTGTGAGAACCTGGCTCATTAATCTTGCCTGACTTCAATATCAAATAACATAATAACCTTTAAATTGCCTCCGCACTAAGGCGGACGAAATTAAATGTCTTTGCAATTTGTCAGGGCTGGAGGAAAATGCCTTGATAAATGATTTCTTGCGATTCGAATTCGCAAAACGGGAAAAATAAGAAAAAATGAAAATGAGGGAGCTGCGCGGCTATAATTTGGCGTGTAAATTGCATGTCATTAGCGAAATGAGAAAAGGGAGAGAGAAACAGTGAGAGAGGGAGAGAGATGGGCCGAGGGTTGTCTTAGTATGTGTGAGCTTTGAAAGCTTGTCCTTTCCAGCCTGATAGATATGCTAAAAGCCGTTTCATATGTGAGCTGAACAGGTGAACTTAGATTTATATATATGGGCAGACATAGCCATGCTACAACTGCACCCGATGTTCCATTGAGAGTCGGGAACTGACTTAGAATATGCAAGCAAGCTCGCCATATAAAATCGCTTCAGGCTCCGCTGATTTGGGCCTTCGTTTCCACTTGATTGGCTGGGAAAGATCGATTAATCGATTTACTTTGGCAACTCCAAATATTGTCATTTGATTAAGACTTTAAGGCGAGCTTAGGCAGCTAAGCGGATTACAAGATCCTAGCTGCTGCGGTTGCCAACACAAATTTGGCAAAAATCAAGTCGAGGATCGCGATAAGGGTGGGAAAACTGCGCTGGACTGCATTTTCTTTGCTTTCGTTTTCCTTTTCGGGGTTACCTTTCACACATACACATGCACAGAGCAGAGAAGAAAAGGAAAAGTGAAGGATAAGAATGTCTCGCTTCATTGTTTAGGGGCTGTGAGAAGTGCCGTTATGTCTTTATCACTTTATGTGTTTTTTTTGTTTGTTGCCAAACACAGCGTGAATAGCTGTAAATGTTAGTCAGCTATCAACTGCCATTATGTAATCAGAATTCGTGGAAAACACAAAAGCAAAGCCAACAAATAAAACTATTCGAAAGAGCCATAAAAATGCATCTGGAGTGGCCTCAAATTGGAGCGTGGCCACAGAAGACCCTGATAATAGCCCATTTGAAGTGAATTTTGAAAATGTGATTGGGATTGAATTTGATTGGCAACAGTATCAAGAGAAGATTGAGCTATATTTCATACTTGATCGATAAATGCAGCTATACGAAAACGAAACTAAAATAAATAAATACTTTGATCAGAGTGTGTTTATACATGATATCTTATCAGTTATATAGCAATGCATATATGAGAACGGCAGAGTTGCTAATGGCTGTGAATAGTCTGAATAAAAATACAGAAGTTCTTTAGGCTTAGATGGTAAATAAATAAATAAATGTGGATAGGATTGGAATATTTGTTTATGCATGGAATATTGATCAAGTTATTTCTCTCATTCAGAGCAAGCCAAAGATTCCTTATATAAAATATTGAGTCTGTGAGACAGATGAAGTTGTTAAACTCAATAGGGAAAATAATTGTGGAAAAGGTATATCACTCTATTTCCCTATGATTTCTTGACTTGAAGTGCCAGCAGCACTACATTCACGTCTAGAGTCCCAGTCTCATCGAGAACTGTAGCTTTAGCAGGAAATCAGAGAACTCGTTGCATTCGTTTCACAAGACTTTTCCACTCAAGGCACTCTGTTCCACTGTCCATAGGGTATATAGTTGGTATATTTGTATAATTTGGTCAATTTACCCGGTGTCAACTAACCCTGGTTCGATGGGTTGCTGTTGTCCGTGCATGCCGGGCGCGCCCGGCTGATGCTGGTTGGGCATTTTGTTGTAGGGCGACATGCCGCACAGGTCCTGCGTGGGCACCATCCAGGAGTGGGTGAACGGCACGGCGGGCATGCCCAGGGAGCCGACCATGTGGCCGCCGGGGTGGCCGGGCGTCGGCTGGCGCTGGTAGCCAGCGTAGTCCATGGCCACGGCCTGGTAGGGCAACATTATAGCACTTGAGTTCAGCTTCACTCTTGCCTCTGGCCCCTTTGCACTTGACTCTTAGTGTTTCTCTTAACTAGCACTGGCACATGTTTGCGATATATGGATAGAGATGGAGATGGAGATGGGGACTATTGCACTTGGGGCTTTTCTTTTCTATTTATTTTTGACACACTTTTCGGGCAGCAGGTCAACGACGCATCCTTTGTCTGTGTTGTCTGGCGGAGCACGCGTACGTGTCGGTTGCTTCCTTCAATTATCCTTCGACCCGCACGTCGCAACACGCACGTAAAACTAACGTCGAGTGTCTCTCCGTCTCTCAGTCTCTCCGTCCCTCTGACTTTCCGTCTGTCTGCCTTCGATTGGCATTCAAATTAGCGTGCAATCGACTTGGCGGCCAGTTAATTCGCACGTCACACGCGTTCGGCACGTCAGACGCGTTAGCAGCATCCAACTGAAAGGCTGGACTACGATTGCGATTGGTATTGGGGGCTGTCGACGCGTTGCGGCCTGCAAACAAATGGGCGCCAATTACGCACGCACAGGGTAGCTGCCACACATACACACACACAAATACAGACAGGCTCACACGCCTACACACAAGTACACCGACACGGATACGGATACGGCTACAGTTGCACGGCCGGGCAGCGTACGTGAAAACTGCAGCAAAACGGCGTTGAAAGTAACGTAAAAGTTATATGATGATGACGAAGAAGAAGACAACGACGACCACGACGACGACGACGACGACGACGACGGCGAAGACGAGGCAGAATCAGAATCAGAAGCAGACGTAGCAGCAGCAGCAATAGCTGAAACTAGAGACAACTGCTGAGCGCGCGTTACGAGAGTTGTGTTTACGTAGTACGTCCGTTGCGGGCGACGAATACGTGCAGAATAATTCAGAGTCACGTTCACGTCACGAACAAAACCAAAGTAAGGCAAAAAAAGGCAGCGCTGCCATAGACCCCCTCACACACACACACACACAC